ATTTTCTTTCTTCATAAACCCTTTAACCCATATCTATTTGTAGCCATGTGTTTTTTAATTTTTTAGTTTTGTTTAATAATTTGTAGCCATCAATTTTTAGGGTAATAATTATTATTGTCCCTGAGTTTTTCTTGCTTCTTTGGTTTAATACAGATGCCGTTTTGGTTGTATTTTCTGTGTTTATTTCCCTATTTTTTCCTAGCTTTTGTGTATCCATATCTGTTTCTTTTTTCAGTTTTTACTGTAACTTTTATTAAGCAATGTTTTTACTACGTTTTCCTTTCTGTTTTCACCAAATATTTTCTTTTTTTATGTCTACGTTTTAGTTTATTTGATATAATATGCTTCAGTTTTTTTTCCTAATTTCTTTATGTACATGTGTTATGTTTTTATGAGTTATCACGTTTTTGCTGTTACTTTTTATTGTGTTATTTAACTAATACGTAGTAATATTTAAGCATGCCCTTAATTGTAATTTAATAATTTCAGCTACTTAGAACAGTTAATTTTGCCAAACATAACTATTTAAAACAGGCACTTTTAATGAAACAACTACAATCTTTTCTATCTGCAAGTTTATCGGCTCAAAAAAGCTAACAGATACTAAAAAGTCTAAAAAAGATCTTTTCAGCTTGACAGGCCAAACATACCCATAACATGTTGTTCAATGAAATACTCACCAGACAACACACTTTTAACCGGCTAAATGTAAATGACTGTTGTACCTTTGACAGTAATTGATGAGACCTTTTTTAGCGAGAAAATGACCATAAATTCCACAAGATTTTATACACAGATAGATATCTATGAGTTATTTATTTATGGATGTTCAATGTTCAATTACAGCAGACTGCTTTTAGATCCTATTTTTACTTTTTTTTAACGCATGATTTCACAACATTGTTTTTACACAAGGCCTATATTATGTACCGTAAACTCATTCGCCACTTGCACTATAAGTGGATAATTTGAACAAGAAATAACACTTATGTATGCATACGTCAATGACCAATTTACAGCACAAATAATTTTTTACACCACTTTGTTAGTTCCTCCACGAATTAAAACGTCTAATATCAATAGAACTGTTCTGCAAATAAGTTGCCTAATTTGTAAAAAAGAAGTATTGTTTTCCAGCAAGAATAGACAAGATAACTCAATAGCAAGACACACGATAAGATTGAACCAGCCATGTTATATTAACGTAACTTCTCCCATAAGTATTTCATGTTAGGAAGAATTTTCAAATGTCAGCCAAACACCCGAGAAAATTATTCTGATTCTAAATTTTAGGAGTAAAATCAGTTCCAAGAGAGAGACAAAAAAACACAGACAATGGTGAAAAGCAACGAAGAAGAACAAAATTCTTTTTCTGATTCCAAAAGAAAAAGTAAAAAATTAGCCATCACAAGACATTTAGAGGGGTATGCTTAGAAGTTTTCCGAAATAGCAGAAAACAAGAAGGAAAAAAAAAACATTTCTTTGCCCTTATCATCATCATCATCCCTTGTCATCATAACATACCCAATAAAGACCAATTTACTTTCCATACTTGTCTTACCTTCCCTCGCAAATGAAGTGTTATCTCACCATATTGTATTTTTCATATCTCTTTCTTTCCAAATTTAAAGTTAGAACAAATATATAAGTTTACCTCCAAATGTTATGTTCAGCACATGCTCAGCCCACCAATGCAAATATGCAATACCCTTCATTTATGTATGTAGTTTGCAATAAATCATCATCACCACCACATTAATGCAAACTACTTGTTTTTTGTGACAAATGTTGAAAACCTAACCCTATTTGCATCGTCACAACCACATTAATGCAAACTACTTGTTTTTGTGCTTGATCATTTGATGTTGCATACTTCCTGTCATGTTTACTCTTTAGAGTTGGTAGGTATTTAAATGGTGTTTTTTCTTTTTAAACACTGACCCTAATTTTCTTTCGTCCATCAACCTTTTTAGACACAATCCAGAGAGCCTGCCTCTTCATTTTTTTGTTATCACCAATACCGAAGCAATCCTTCGGAGCCACTAGTTTATTCTTTCCACTCTATCTCCCTCTAATCGGTGTTATTTTTTCGTTTCCCCTCCTTTTACCCCCCCTCCCTCTCCCCCCGAATCTTCCATTTATAGGTAGCTTATTACCTTGTCATATGAAAGGAGTCTAAAATGAGGATAAATTTATAAGTTTAGACAGCGCCGGTCCTGACTAATTATGGGCCCGGGGCAAAAGACAAAAAATAGGCCCTATAGATGTTAGTGCCGGTGAACGCTTGCAATATATGATCCTCTACAAAAAGCTCGTGATTAAAAAGCGAAAATGCAAAATAGCAATCGGCCAATTGTATGGAAAGATTAAAAGATATAAATAAATTTCAACTTTATATCCTTAATTAAAAACCATTTTCTAAGTAATATACAAGTAAACCCATAAAGTAATATACTAAATAATTAAAATTATAAATTAATGTAGTCAATTTACATAATTAGTAAATGCCTGTGAGCACCGTGCGGCAGTGCTCGTCCTCATGTGATGGTTGAATCCTTTGAGAGGTCTAGAGAGGATTAGAGGAAAAGGCAAAAATTAAGAATTTGAGAATTGAGTATTTAAGATTTGAGAGCAAAGAATAACAAAGGCTGACGGTTGAATCAATTAAGCAAAGCGTGTAGTTGATTATAAGAGACCGAAGAGATTCATATGATTTGTATCAGGGAGGCGGAAAGATTGAGTATCCAACGTTTGGGAACTAAATCCAGAATTGGTTAGGATTGGTATTAATGTTTAGTTTTCGATTTTTGTGAGGGAGTTCGAAAGTCTTCCTCTCGCATGTGGGCCTTGGCTCAATCTAGAACTACGAAATAGAGATTGATATCTTACCGTATACGACTATACGGACTACTATTAATTAATTTAGATATTTAGTATTATTAATTTATATATATAATAACTACTATAAAATCTATGGGCCCCTTTTTCCTGGTGGGCCCTGGGCAGCAGCCCAGGCTGCCCCTATACCAGGACCGGCCCTGAGTTTAGATTGTAATGCGGAGGTGTTATTAGTTTTGAAGATTCCTAATTAACAAAATTAGAATCTTAGGCCTTAAGCATGTTCTGAGTTTTTTGTATGGTTTGGCATGGACATTTTATCCCTTCATGCCTTATTAAGAACAATACTATGTGTGCTTTTAATTTCAACATGCCAAGTTTTAATTCCACTAACTAATAATGAATTATCTATTATGCCCCATTTCACCATGTCTATTCACTTGCTCGAGGGCCAGCTTCATATTTTAAAACCTTGCCCACACTGGATCCAATAAAATTGGAGCTAGTATACTGCGGTTGGAAAAGAGGAAGTAAAAACAACATCACACTATGAAAGGTCCAACATGAGGTTAGGGGAACTAGATGCCTCTAATGGGTTGTAACTCAGATCAATTGGGAAGAAAGGAGAAGGGGAAACCACAAGCTAAACCCGCTATTGCAATAATGTGTTAAGAAGAGAGGATGATTTTGATCATATCCACCAACCTTACTATTAGGATGGCATGATGCAAATAGAAAAATTTCCAAAAAAAAAAAAGAGTAAAAACAAGGCAATTTCGTTAAATAGGGGTATTATGTTTTCTCCCAAATGAGGAGTAGAGTGCTTTTATCTTATTGATAGTACCTGATAGAGTATTAAATTCTAAAGAGAAGTGAGAGATAAAGAGAGAAAGTGAGAAATTAATATTTCTCAACCCTTTATAATTACTCCCTAGGGGCTATTTATAGAAGCAAATGTCGATTTGGGCTCCTAGCCATGGGTTTAGGAGGCCCATTACAATAACTGTGCCTCTTTTGGGCGTAATAACGTCACTAATAGGCTGAGTACATGACTTAGTAGATTAAGTAAGAAAATACATTTTGTTGGGTCATTTCCGGCCGATCGAGTACCTTTTGGCCGACACGGTCCTCTGGCCGATGCGACCCCGCCTGATGGGGCCCACTTCATCTCTGGGCAACGTTTCGGGTAACTCTGGTTTTGGCCGTTGCGGGACCCACCTGACCGTATAGTGCCACGTGGATGTCCCTCTCTAGTGTCTTTGACCTTCTGAGTATGTGGGCCATGGGGTCTGGACCCATATACTCTATGGGTACCATTTTAGGATGACATTAATTACTCCTATCGGAGAGAAACTACCCCACTGAGGGAGACCATATTGTTTTTAATCCTATTTAGAACAAATTTTTAAGCAAATAAGGTAGAGAATGAGAGAACATCAACATAATAAGCAAGCGCAAATTAGTTCCTTAGCATTCAAACAGGTAAATATGTAATTTAGAGAAGCAACAACCTCGGATAATCCGATCGTTGTGCCTTTAACTCAACGACTAGACCCCTTATTCTTGGTCACTTGAAAAAATTATTTTAAAAATATATCTTATTCATAAAATAAAGAAAAAATTATATGTAAAATAGCTAAAATGGTCATTTATAGTAACTTCAACTAATACAGCCAGAAAAGTAACTCCAACCTTACTTGTTCTGCTTATTACACAATTCAGCGCGCGACAGCAAAGATTACGTGTTTGGTGAAAAAGTTGACAGATAAACCTGATAAGCCGAAAAACAGTGTTGCCAAACGACTTCTTAAATTTTAACATATACACAACTTTTCTTATGATTTAAAAGTGTTTGATAGGCTTGAGCTCGAATAGAAACATAAACTATTATGCTTGAGCTCAACTCGAATAAGCATTAGAATTTAAATCCCCATTCATGTTTGAGTTTGAAATCCATCTCAAATGTGAATAGATAGGGTTCAATACCATACGACCGTCTCACCATGAGCATCATGCTCCCACTCCCAAAATGATGTAATTTTGGGCAATTTCTTTTATAAAAAATCGCGTGAGCAGTACACGGTGAACAGTACATGCTTCTACAATGAATTTTTTTGTACATAGCCTAAAGTTAATTGAAATAGAGAAACTAGCTTTTCAGAATGGAACCTATCCCAAAAATTACAGGGAGTAAGACCTAAGCGACTTCCAAGCTCCGACCGTTATGTGAGTCGTGACAAAGAGGCATTTTGAGAGGTTTTTGAATAGGCATGGAGACTGACGGATGTTCCCGAATGTCTAGAGACAATGAGCTATCGCATTCCTCATTTCCTACTTCTGTTCTCGACGAAGGCGTTTCTGGCAAACCGCTCATCTGCTCTACTGCCAGCGTAGGCGGCGGTGAAGAAGGAGACCACCGGCCTGTTCCTACGTTCTTTGACCAGCTCCCTGAGGACCTGTTGGAGAATGTGTAGCGCTTCCTTAGCGACCGTAACGATCGCGACGCTGCCTCGCTCGTCTCCAAGTCATGGTACCGCGCGGAGGCGATGACCAGATCCGAGGTCTTCGTCGGAAACGGTTATGCTCTACCGCCCCAGCGCCTCGCAGCTCGGTTCGGTCAGATCACCTCATTGATTCTCAAGCTCAAGTCTCACGCCGAGCGTTTATTCTTTCCTTCACAGGATCCGCGTTTCCGGCCCTGGGTCACCGTCGTTGCCGAGGGTTATCCAGCACTCGAGAAATTGTACCTCAAAAACTATGCTGTCTCGGACGAAGATTTGAACATTCTGGCTCTATCATGCCCGAATTTGAAGGAGCTGGTGTTGGTCCGCTGCAGATATTTCGGGACCCAAGGACTTGCTTATGTTGCAGGTGCGTGCAGGAAATTAAGGGTGCTGGATGTGATTCAATGTCATGTTGTTCACGACGGTGTGGATTGGATTTCATACTTCCCTGAGGATAACATATTTCTTGAGTCTTTGATCTTTGAAGAGTCTATGTGGTGTGTGAATTTTAAAGCTTTGGAGCAGCTGGTAATAAGATCTCCTTCTTTGAAGAAACTTAGGTTAGATGACCTTGTTTCCATCGGCCAACTTCATCGCCTGATGATTAAAGCTCCTAAGCTCACCCATCTCGGTATAGGTAAATTTGTTCGCTCAAGTGAACAAGAACCTGCTCTGGGTGAACTAGAACTTCACTACGCTTCTGCTTTTGCTGTATGCAATTCCTTAATTTCTCTTTCTGGATTCAGGGATGAACTTCCTATTTATCTGCCTGCGCTGTATCCTGTTTGTGCCAACTTGACATCCCTTAATCTCAAACATACTCTCATCAGCTGTGCAAATTTCAAAGAAGTCATTTTCCACTGCCCTCAACTACAGAGCCTGTGGGTGTCTGGTAGAATCTGGGACGTAGGACTCAAGGCAGTAGCAGCAACATGTAAGGATCTGATAGAGCTTCGTGTTTTCCGGGATGAGCATGCTTATGGTATTGTTAATGGGGATGAGTTGGCTGATGTGCTTGTCTCCGAAATTGGTTTGATTGCAATCTCCGAGGGATGCAGGAGACTTCAGTACATACTCCGTATTATATTTCTGCAAGAGAATGACTAATGCAGCTCTGGTTGGTCTGTCGAAGAACTGCCCAGATCTTTTGGTATTCCGTCTTCACACATCGGGGTGTCGAAGTCCGGACTACTATACGCTGGACTCCATGGATGAAGGGTTTGGAGCGATTCTTATGAACTGTAAGAAGCTTAGACGGCTCCACACATCTGGTTTATTGACAGATAATGCTTTATGTTACATTGGACAGTATGGGAAATCACTCCGTACTTTGTCTGTTGGTGTTGATGGAAAGAATGAAATTTGTGCTCAACGGTTGCCCTAACTTACTAAAGCTTGAGATAATTGATTTCCGATTCGGTGATTCAGCTTTGCGTTCTCTTTTGCATCATTTTTACAGGCTGCAATTTGTGAAGATTTCAACATGCGGGGTAACTTATCAATGCTGTGAGGAAATTGCCCGCCAATTACCTCAGTTAGTAATAGAAGTGGCTGCCAAGATTGCCATACCTTCGGATCAGAGGGGCTATGACAGATTATTCATATACCGATCTCTTGAAGAATAAAAAATTATATGGACCAAAGTATGCCCAAACCTTCTAAAGTTACATGGTGTGACCGGGAAGAATAGATTGTCTGAGTTTTAGTGATCAATACTCTGCTGATGGCTGTTGCGAAATATAAATGTATGAGTAGGTTCCATCATGACTGAGCAATGAAGTTAGCTCCATTCATCTCTTGTGAGTCATGTACCCATGCTTTTAAATTATGTTACCTAGAAAGAAAAAAGAAAGAAAATTGGTCTGATGGCTTCACTTAGTGTATGTGTGCTGTGAATGGACGTATATGAAAATTAGAGTACATGTCTCATAAGTTGTCTTAGATCTTTGGTACGAAGAAGCATATTTCCTTGGTCTACATTCATTGGGGGCATAAATAATCTCCCTAATGTTTACTAAATACTCATTTAGTCATTACCAATAGTATTACTTTTACTCATTTAGTCATTACCAAATAGTACATTTGTTCTAAAAATCGTTATAGGCGTCCGACTAGTCCCCGTCTAGGCGCTAGGTGATGGCCGGGCGCCCCGCTTTTCTTTTAGACGCTCCGACTAATTGGTTTGTCGTTTAAGTGAATTAGTCGTTCGCCTATGGCGCCTAATTGCCCGTCTAGAGCGACTAATCAGTTGCCTAGGCCGTCTAGATTTGTCGAACTTAACATTACTTTACTTTTTAATTTTAATTTTTAAGCGATATAAGTATTTGAACTTTAGCCACAGATATAAAGAAATGAAGTTGAAAATTAAGATAAAAACTATATATGTTTGTATATATACCTAAATTTTATTATTATTTATATTTATAACATAATGAAGTTAAGTAATTAGTTATCATATACTACGTACTACATATGATTAAATGTGACAATTCTATCATTCATGTTTGTTAATATATGTGTAGTTATATATTTTATACACACAAAATGCAATACTACTTATCATATTTATGCAAAAATATAGATAAAATGCAATTTTTATGTCTCCGACTAGTCCCCGATTAGGCATCCGCCTAGGCGCTGAGTGCCTGGGTTGGCACCCGACTAGCGCCTAGCGCCTTTTAGAACAATGACAAATACCAACCGTATTACTTTTACTATTCATTGAGAAACTTACAAAGTGTTGATAGAGTGAATTTCATATTTATTTAAGTGTAGGGAGAGTAATGCATTTTTGTGAATAGCGTTACTTAAAAACAGCTTGAGTGAGTCTTCATGAACGTATTGATGTGAGATAATAACACTCCGTATGTAATCTCTTAATTATTTAGTTAGAAGGATTGAATTACTCTTCAACTAGTGTTGGGTAGTTTTAATTTTATCTGAGTTAAAATTCGTATTAATCTTTTGAATGTAATAAATCTCTATTATGAATTAATCACAACTATTGTTTTTGAAAAAAAAATACTGAATTATCATTAATCAAATCGTTGTCTAAAGCCGAAACAATAAAAGAAGGAGGATAATCAGCCCAATGCTGCGAATCAGAAAAGGAACAAGCCGCCCTAGCAAGCAAATGAGCTGGCTTGTTCGCTGATCGCCTCACATGACAAAATGAAATAAACGAAAAAGAATTCGACAAATCTCGTATGTCGTCTCATAAAAGTCCCACCAAAGAATAGCTTGAGCCACTTAAAATCTCTGCAATCGCCCCCGCTCCATCAGACTCAATCTCAATCGAAGTAAAATCATGCTCTTTTAGCCAACTCAAAGCTCCCGGATGCTCACAACCTCTGCTCCCAATGCTGTTAACACTTCTGACCACACCAGCTCGGGAATCCGGGAGAGGCACCCTAGCAGCGACATCGGTATACTCCACTAGACAATGATAGGTCAACACATAGCTCTACCCCCTTTCGCCACGAGTACTCGTCGCCTCATGGTGTGAGAGACTCTTGATAGAATATATAGACTCGACACCTTGGTCTCACGACTATTGGGTCTGGACAGCGGCCCACATAGGCTTTACGAATATCATTTATATTATTGTATAGTATATATGTCACTTGTATCTACTAGATTACAAAGTTTTATGTAGTTGGGCCTATCAGACCCATATTAGCGGTCCAACCCATTATTTCCTTATAAATATTCTCTATGGGATTGACGAGCACTTTGTCGTGGTGTGCATTCAAAATAAATACTACGATTATACGTAGTATAACGAAGTAAGGTTCGTATCCATAGGGAAATGAATACTTCTCTTTTATGTAACTAGTAACAAGAGTGGTTTTAAGTTTGATTTGATTTAATAAATTTAACACTAAGATGAATGACTTATATGAGTTTAATTAAAAGAGATGGGGAATTGGTTTTGCTTTTATCCACTTAATGAAATGTTCGTCGATCCCGGTTATATCTTTAACTATCTTTCTCTCAAATACTCAATCGAGGAGTAAATCCAATTCATAGAGGATAGTTATTAATAACGAGACACGTTCATTAATAAAAATTACTACCGAATCAATATATAACATGCGCCGTATATTAACTAGCCAAATATAACCTAAAGTTCATGGAAAAGAAAATGAAAAAAAGTTGAAGTTAATTTGAAATAAAGCAACTACCTTTTCAAAATGGAACAGACCCAATCAAGTTCCAAGAGAGGTATTTTGAGACATCATTGAAAAGGCATTCAATTTTCACACTTCCAGTTTAAATTCTCTGTCCGCATGAATTCCAATATCCAGTCTTGGCATGGCGACTGACGGATGTTCCCGGATGTCTAGAGACAATGAGCCATCGCATCCCTCATTTCCGACTTCTCTTCTCGACGAAGGCGTTTCTGGCAAACCGCTCATCTGCTTTACTACCAGCGCAGGCGGTGGGGAAGGAGGAGACCACCGGCGTGTTCCTTCCTACTTTGACCAGGTCCCTCAGGAGCTGTTGGAGAATATACTGTGCTTCGTTAGAGACCGCCGCGATCGCAACGCTGCCTCGCTTGTCCGCAAGTCCTGGTACCACGCGGAGGCGATGACCAGATCCGAGGTCTTCATCGGAAACGGCTTTGCCCTACCGCCCCAGCGCGTCGCAGCTCGGTTCCGTCAGCTCACCTCATTGATTCTCAAGCTCAAGTCTCACGCCGAGCTTTTATTCTTTCCTTCACAGGATCCGCGTTTCCGGCCCTGGGTCACCGTCGTTGCCGAGGCTTATCCAGCACTCGAGAAATTGTACCTCAAAAACTATGCTGTCTCGGACGATGATTTGGAGATCCTGGCTCTGTCATGCCCGAATTTGAAGGAGCTTGTGTTAGTCCGTTGTAGAGCATTCGGGACCTATGGACTTGGTAGGGTTGCTAGAGAATGCAGGAAATTAAGGGTACTCGACGTGATTGAATGCTATGTTCATAGTTACGATGTGGACTGGATTTCATGCTTCCCTGGTGATAATACATTTCTTGAGTCTTTAATCTTTGATTATTCTATGATGTCAGAGTGTTTGAATTTTGAAGCTTTGAAGCAGCTGGTGACAAGGTCTCCTTGTTTGAAGAAACTTAGGTTGGATTACCTTGTTTCCATAGGCCAACTCTATCACCTAATGATCAAAGCTCCTCAGCTCACCCATTTAGGAATAGGTATATTTATGTATTCAAGTGAACAAGAAGCTTATGCGGGTGAACTAGCACTTCACTATGCTTCTGCTTTTGCTGTATGCAATTCATTAGTTTCTATTTCTGGACTCAGGGATGAACTTCCTAGTTATCTACCTGCTCTGTATACCGTTTGTGCCAACCTGACCTCTCTCGATCTCAAACGTACTCTCATCAGCTGTTCACATTTCAAAGAGGTCATTTTTCACTGCCATAAACTACAGAGCCTGTGGGTGTCTGCTAGAGTCTTGGACGAAGGACTCGAGGCAGTGGCAGCGACATGTAAGGATCTGCTAGAGCTTCGTGTTTTCCTGGATGAGTATGCTTATGATGATGACAACATTGACGTGTCTGAAGTTGGTTTGCTTGCAATTTCCGAGGGTTGCCGGAGACTAGAATACATATTATATTTCTGCAAGAGAATGACTAATGCAGCTCTTGTTGGACTATCAAAGAACTGCCCAGATCTTTTGGTATTCCGTCTCCACACACCGGGGTGGCAAAGCCGGAACTACTCTACGCGAGAATCGATGGATGAAGGATTTGGGGCGATTCTTATGAACTGTAAGAAGCTTAGACGCCTTCACACATCTGGTTTATTGACAGACCAGGCTTTATGTTACATTGGACAGTATGGGAAATCACTGCGTACTTTGTGTGTTGGTGTTGCTGGAAAGAATGAAATGGGGCTGAAATTTGTGCTCGACGGTTGCCCTAAGTTACTAAAGCTTGAGATAAGTGATTTCCAATTTGGAGATTCAGCTTTGCGTTCTCTTTTGCATCATTTTTACAGGCTGCAATTTGTGAAGATTTCAACATGCGGGGTAACTCATCAATGTTGTGAGGAAATTGCCCGCCAATTACCTCAGTTAGTAATAGAAGTGGCTGACAAGATTGCCACACCTTCGGATCAGAGGGGCTATGACACTCTATTCATGTACCGATCTCTTGATGAAGCAAGCACCATATCGACCAAAGTATGTGCAAACCTTCTAAAGTTATACGATGTGCGAAACTTTCTAAAGTTATATGATGTACCGATCTCTTTATGAAAAATTTATGAGAAATTTACGAGAATACTATATTTGACCCCTCTTTCATTTTTAAAAAACTCCATTTAATATTGATTCATTCAAAATGTGTGTCATTTAACTTTACAAGTCAATGCCAAAATGGCATCATTTAATTTCTTGTTAAAAAACTCATTGGGACAGTTTCCCCAATGCCTCATGCTAGATACGCTTAAGCTGGCAAATGTTTAATGGTTCTTTAACTTCTTTATGACGAATTGTTAGTTCCTACACGAATTAAAATGTCTAATAGCGATGATTGTCTAATAGCGATGATTCAACCAGCCATGTTCTGTTAACGTAACTGCTCCCATAAGTATTTCATTTAAATAATGGGCGTCGCGAGTACCTTGAACACATGTACATTATAATTTGTTAAAAGTGAACATGTTTATATTACAAAATTTTATTGTCAAATAAAATATCCAGCCTCATTTGAAAGTTCCTGGTCCAGTTTGAATCTTTTTAGTATAATTTAATTAACACAGTTAATTAATGATAAAGTAACACAAAATGAAAGATGCAGAGACCATCAAGTATGGTAAGATTCTTGAAAGCTAGAATTTTGAATGGTGTAAGAATGATTCCCTAAATGCATTTATTTCAACAAATAAATAAAATGTATAATAAATAATTAAAT